ACCCCCATAGAAATGCCCCCACAAAATATTTCTTGAATTTTCCAAAGGAGTCTCAGGTGAACCCCCACAGCACCCCTACAACTAGCGCCGCTCTGTCTGACGCCCCTGTGTCGGGATGGCTTTGCTGTTTCCCTTGCTCTCACCTCGGCTATGACCCCGGGCACCTGCGTCTTGCCCACTGCGGCCCAGGCCCAGCAGCCCCCTGACCTTGGCGATGCCTGTCCCACCCGCTGGTCTATGAGAGGCTGCTGTGGCTCTGAGTCCCTGCTCTGCAACAGCACCCTTTCCCACGGGCCTGCATGTCATCAGCCTCTCTCCAGCTGTCCCGCCAGGCAGCGCAGGTCAGTGGCCATGACTTTGAATCAAGGGCCGTAGTGGATGATATGGCTGCTCTGCCCTTGAGCTGCCAGGTGGGGTCAGAAGTGCCCCCAGGAAGCACTGTGGTGTAGGGTTCAAGAAAGAATAGATTCTTCCCTTTGGAGAGCCCTCTGCCAGAGAGGTTTCAAAGCAGGAGCATCTACCCGTGTTTTCTAGATGGAGGCAAAATGACTCTTGAATCCTCTCCGACTTCCTTAGGACTCGGATGTGACGTCCCGTGAGGCTGTGGGAGACGATGATCTGAGTGCAGGATCTCCTCCCCCGGCCGGGAGCGGAGAGGCTCTTGAGGTGCTGCATTCAGCGTGCCTGGTTTCTCCCTCCCCTCAAAAGTGCATGTTCCTTTAAAACACACAGACAAGACACCCTCAGTCGTCAGCAAGTGATGCTCTGGCAGGCTGCCCTCGCCCCCACACATTTACCTTCCACCTCCGGTTCCCTGCAGAAGACCCTGCTGGGCCCTCATGGGATTCCCCGCTTCTTTATGGGAATTGAAAGGCAGGGCCTGTTTGGAGGAGAGGCTGAATTTTATCTCGCTGATGTATTTTAAAGAGGCAATCTATTTACGTGATATAAAATTCAAAAGACATATAACGGTACCTAAGAAAAGTCTACTTTCCAACTCTGTCCCTCCATTTAAATGAACCCGTTTTGTGTATTCAAGTAAAAATGTAAGTATCTCGTCTCCCACCATTTTAAAATGGCATGCTTTTTAAAAATTCCATGTTAGCGCCTCCCCATCCTTGCCAGCTGTAGAGCACTCCATCGCGTGACCACACCGTGGGCAGATTGAACTGGCCCCTGTAGGCGAAACTTAGATGTTTCCAGTCTCTTGCCATGACAAGCAAACTACAATGGACAACTTGTAAATGCTTCGTTTCAGACATGGGCCAAGAGTATCTCTGTGGTCCAGTCCCAGACTGAGACTGTGGGTCAGGGGTTAAATGACGTTGTCATTTTTTAAATATTGCCAAGTTCCTCCCCATTAGGGTTGGGCCATTCTGCATTCATAGGACTAATAGACAAACTTCCTTCCCACCCCGCCCCTGCCCGCCCCCCGTTTCATCAACAGAATATTGTCACACTTCTGGATTATTGGGAACGCCGGGCGAGGGATACGTTCTCAGCATGGTGTGTGTGGGGGTGGGGGCGGGGAGGGTGCACGCTGGGGACCTCGGCATCCAGGGCACGGCTGGTCACACAGCCGCAGACACCCAACAGTGTGACTCAGTGTCAAAGAGCCCGCTAGCTTTTAATTTTGTTTGAAATGCAATTTTAAATTTATTTTTTAAATTAACAGTAAAATGGACTACTTTGGTGTATCATTCTATGAATTGTCAACGGCATCACCCCAAAAGCCTCCCTCGTGCCGTCCCTGTGTACTCACACTCTCCCCCCGGGCCCTGGCAAGCCCCGAGCCTGTCTCCATCACTGTGGTTGTATCCTTTAGAGAATCTCATATAAATGGAACCATACAGTACGTAGCCCTTAGAGATGGGCTCTTTCTGTTCTGCAGATTTTCCTGGAGATTTCAGGCTCTTGGCGGGCACCACTACTTGGCTGCTTGTCGTTGCTGGGAAATGTTGTGCTGTATGATTGTAGCACAGATTACCCACTCACCCACTGAATGGCACTGTGGTTGTTTCCAGGTTTGGGTTGTTATTAATAGAACTGCTATAAACATTCATGTCCGGATTTTGTGTGAACATAAGTTTTAATTTGGCCTTAGCATAATTTTCATTTCTTCTTAGTAAGTTTAAGTACATTTCCATATGTTTAAGGGGCATTCATAGTTCCTTTCCTATAGAATGCTCATTTCCTTTACTAATTTTTTTGTTTGGTTGTCTGTGATTTTTATTTCAGATGAGTTGGCTTGGGGGGCTGATGGGTCATCTGGATGAAAATGTGAAGCATTCCATTAAAAAATGTAGGACCCAGGTTTGAGAGAGATACCTGAAGACCTAGATTTGAGAGTGACACAGATAGAGAATGGAAGATGAAGCCGTAGACCTACACAAACTCATGGGAGAAAACACACAAGGCTTGAAGACAGAATCTATGGAAATACCCATGTTTAGGATGTGAAAACAGAAAGATCTAAAGGAGAGACTTGTTAGTGGTCAGAGAAGAGCCAGGATGGTGCAGGGTAACACTAATAAAAGCTGAATATTAAAGGTATCCAAGCCCTGGACAGCCTGGCTCAGTGGGTTAAACATTGGCCTTCAAAGCAAAGGGTCGCCAGTTCGATACCTGGTCAGGGCACGTGTCTTGGTTGTGGGCAGGTCCCCGATTGGGGCATATGCAACCAATCAGTGTTTCTCTTGCACATTAATGTTTCTCTCCCTCTTTCTCTCTCCCTGCCCTTCTCTCTAAAAGTAGATAGATAGATAGATAGATAGTCTGCTAAATAAAAGGGTATAAACCCACAGGACAGTGTCCAGAAGAACATCTCCTTCCAAGAATTCCAAGCCAAAGCCCTACCACTCATTCTGATTGGGGTAGGTTAAGTCACACGGCCACTGCTACACCAAATATTGTCACCAGGAGATACAATGTATTGATTGGCCTACCTAGGTCATGTGCTTCAATTCCATAATTTCCCAGAACGTTGTGGATCCCCAAGGGAAAATATGAGGCTATTGGGGGAAGAAACAACCAATGAATGTCTATAAGTGGCCTTTGAAAATGGTGTATCATCTAAACATAGGAATTTAAACAGCACTTGTGTTTCAAGTTGAGGAAGTATAGGCAACTGGTATAGAAAATGTAACCCAAGAGTGTGGTTTAATTTTGGTAATCAGGATGCTTCAAAGAAGGATTTTTTCCTTTTTCCAAAAATAAGTCAACATCAGTGCATATTCCTAGGCATGGGGAATGGAATCATGGGAAGGGAGACCACAGAGACCATGAAGCCTGCCCCCAGGGGAAGACTGAGGAGAAAGGTGAGGGCAGAAGGGAGGGCAGGTGAAGTCCCAGGTACCACATGGAGCACAGCGGGACCACAAGGCTGCCTCTGAGGAAGCAGGTGGAACCCCGTCCACTCTTCCGCCTCCATCTGCTCTCCCCACTGCAGTCAGAATGATCTTTTAAGAGTGAAAATCTCCTTGTGTTGGTACCCAGTGAGAGCTACTTCAGTGGCTTCACTTCCCCACAGGATGTCATCCTCATGAAGTGGGCTGGACTTCAGGGCCTTGTAGGAGGTGTCTCCTGCCTGTGTCTGTCCTCTATTCTCCAGCCCCAAAGGACCACCAAGGCCCACACAAACTAGCCTTGCTCCCTCTTAAGTAACAGAACCGCCTGTCTGTCTCTTTGCTAGACTGTAAGTTCTGCGTAGGCACAGATTCTATTTGTCTTGCTCACACTGGATCCTCTAGCGCTGTGTCTGGCACATAGCAGACACTTGTACATGCTCACCGGAAAGACAAATGGATGCCTCCTAATCTTCAGATTCGCTGTAGCCTCAGCAATTTTTTCCTAAGGTCTAATTCTCACCCATTGTTTGAGAGGTCATTTTATTACAAAGTAAGCAAGAGAAATAATGAAGTTATTATAGAGTGAAACATGAAACTTTCAGAATTCTATTTTATATCTATGTGGAAAATGAGTGGAAGGCAACATGCCAACCTGTAGACATGGTCGACGCTAGGGAGTAGAAATAAAGATCTATTTTTTTTCTTAGACTTCAGAATGTTTTCCAGATTTCCTCCAATGCATATGTATGACTTTCTGGTATCTTCCAGATTTTCCAATGCATTGGGAGAAATGTTTTAAATTTTTCAACTGTAAACTTTCAAAACAATCCATGTGAAACTGGGTAAGAACACTGCAGCAAGCTCCTCATTCTGACTTAGATGTGTTCGTCCACTATGACATCGGCTTCATCTTCTAATAGATTTTGCAATGGAAACACTAAAGGAAAAAGAGGATGGATGACACTAAGGAGTTAGAGACATTTTAAACAGGCATTTAAGAAAGAAAGGAAAGGAGGAGGGGAGGGAGGGAGGAAAGGAAGGAGGAAGAAAGGAAACCGCCATTTAAAATCCCGTAGAGGAGAACTGGTTAAAGCAAGCATGGTGCAGACACTTGGTGGAGGTGTGGCGTGCTGGAGCCTGGCACCACCGCACCCAGGGGTCCTCTCAGACCACCCCAAACAGGGGGCCCGGCGCGCAAGGTGCGTGGCTGCGGCTGTGCCAGCCTCCTCCTCCTCCCGCCCCCACCCCCGCCCACCCACTTACCCATTGCCCCAAGCCCTGCAGGACAGGAAGGGACAGTGTCACCTCTGTGAGGATCATGACTGTACTTGTCATGTAACATGAACTCAAAAAGAATAGAAGGTTGAAGGAGCCATGTGATCATAGCTGTGCATTAAGAAAAATATAGACTTTCTTCCAAAAGACAGAAAAACTGGAAGAAAATGCATCACGTGCATAGCACGATTCTTGTTTGTATTGTTCCTATGTTCAGCTTTTTACTACTCTTCATTTTTTCAAAGGTGTACTTAAGAATGAAACGACTGTATTTAAAAAATGTATTTTGCATATCAGATCGACCATATTTGGGACGGCATGAAACCTGCAGACAGGGGAGCTCTCACTGGCTTATGGCGTTCTCTTCTCTCCCCACAGGATGTGCTGGGTGGCGTCCTCATCACCGCGGTCCTCATTGTCCTCACCTACCCTTCCTGGACTCTCATCGACCACCTGGACTCGGCCAGCCCCCTCTTCCCTGTGTGCGCCATAGTGGTCCCCTTCTTCTTGTGTTACAACTACCCCGTGTCCGATTACTACAGCCCCACCAGAGCCGACACCACTACCATTATGGCCGCCGGGGCCGGGGTGACCATTGGCTTCTGGATCAACCACTTTTTCCAGCTCGTGTCTGAGCCCACGGACTCTCTGCCTGTTGTCCAGCACATCCCACCGCTCACCACTGGCATGTTGGTTTTGGGTCTGACCAAATTTGCCGTGGGAATAGTGTTGATCCTCCTGGTCCGTCAACTTGTGCAAAAGCTCTCGCTGCAAGTATTATACTCGTGGTTCAAGGTGGTCGCCAGAAACAAGGAGGCCAGGCAGAGGCTGGAGATCGAAGTGCCTTATAAGTTCGTCACCTACACGTCTGTCGGCATCTGCGCGACCACCGTTGTGCCCATGCTGCACAGGTTTCTAGGGTTACTCTGAGCCCCGGGCGGCTGGAAACGAGCCCACTGGACAAGAGCCAAGACACAGGAAAGATGTTGGGTGGGCAAGTCTGGACAACACATTTTATTTTGAAAAAATTCCTTTAAGTCACATGTCTGTTTTGCTGATAGCCACGATAAATGCTGTTGCTGTATGAAGGGAAAGCTTGTCTTGTAGGAGCCATGAGCCTGGAAGGGTCATGCCGTACGTGAAGCCAGGTGAAAACCCACAGTCAGGCTCCTGAAGGGTCCCCATCCTCCCTGTCTGTGCACTCGGACTCCAGACCACGCCACGCGCTGGCGGTTACAGTGGGCCACACACCGGGCTCCGGACGGAGGGGTAGATCTGGAGGCTGAGCTTTTCTCCTCGGTTAGGACCTCACCTGGCACTGAGTCTCACTTCCCAAATGGGACCGCGGGTCTGGAGAAAGGGTGGCTCCCTGTAAAGCTGCATTCCTTGGGGCGACTTTCTTGCCGTTACGATCAAAATGGGCTGCGTCCCAGTCTCTGTGAATATTGAAGGTGTGAATATTGAAACAGAGGCCTGACCTTCCAGGTTGGAACACTTTGGGGGACTCTAGACACAATTGGGATGCTCTTCTGATCCATGGAACCCATGGCTGCTCGCACCAGGCGGGTGGGGCTTCGCCTTCCCCGAGAGCGGTACACCTGGGCTTCCCCGCGTGTCCTGCTCTCCCCTGCTTCAGAGTGACGTAGGATAAGCCCTCTGCCCATCTTCAGCTTTCCTTGCTTCCTTACAAAATGTCACCTGCGTGTCAAAGTGGGTCAAGAGCAGAGCAGAGAACATCATTCCTGGAGCCTGACCCAGAGGGACTCCACTTGTTGGATGTGGCCTGTCGGAACATTGCTCCTTCAGCTCTCAGTTACTCTCTGAAAATCTCTATTTCTCATCTACTTACTAGAATCAGGGGCCCCCTTTCTGCCTTCCCACCTCTTACCTCTTGGCAATTTTCAGGGTAATTAATGCAAGAGTAACGTCAGCGTCTTTTGGGAAAACAAGCCAGCCACACACAACAACAGCCTTTGCACGGAGGGTGTGTCCCCAAGACACCTACAAAGGTGACTTCCCACCAGAAGGTTCTCTGGAGGGCTCCTCTTTGATTATTAGGAGTAAGGAACAAGTTTCCTTTTCTCAGAAACCATTTTCTGAGAAATTAGTGTAAACATGTAGCTAACAAAGTATCTTTTGCAGTCCAGCGCTGCTGCTGCCGTGATTTATACCCCTAACGCGTGGCGGCCACGCATTCGCAGGGGGAAGCAGACCAGCCGGGAAAGCGAGGCTCTTACCGCACATCCAGCGTGAAAACGGAAACCATGCGCGCCCTGCTCTCCAGTGTGTCCCCCGGCCGCCCTGCTGGAAGGGGCTTCTGTGGTTGACTTAGTGCTCCAGTTTCGTGAGAATAATTTTCAGTAAAACATCCCGTTCTTCCTTCAACTACTTCCCCCATTTTTCAGTTAGAAGGCAAGGATGAAAATGCCATTCGACTATTTTTACATCACACTGACTAGTGTCTGGGCACCATGCGTTGTGGGGGGCGCGGCATTTGGGGAGACCCCGGCTGACGAGCACCCCCGCCCTCCCACCCAGGGCAAGGGATGAGGCACCTTCCCGGAACTCCGTTCCCGAAGCCAAACCACTGGATAGTTATGCAAAATTATTTCAGTTGATTTTTCTGAAACCACCCAACAAAAGGACCAGACTTTGCCACTTGTGTCTTTTGTCATCACACGCAGTGGGGGTGTTGGCGATTCGTTTGCGTGCTATGAAATTTTTACCCTCTCTTCTGTTTCAGTCCCAACAGCAGGAAGGCCAGTCAGCTATGATGAGTATTCAGGGCGTATTTGCACAGTTAGGGCCGAGCCGTAGCACTTTAAAGAACGAGCCAAGGGTCGCCGTGGTTGGTCCCTTTTTCAAGTCCGTTATTGCAGCAACGGGAGACCAAAGAGTCCGCACTGCGGAGGCCACGCTGAGTTTTCGCGCTTCTGCTTTGCCAGCCCTCGCCATCCACTTGCCAGACTGTGGGAGCCTCGCACCCTCTCAGGCTTTCTCGTCTTGCCTCGTCTACTTGAAGGCACGTTGATTTTCTCTCTGGGGAAAGACTGCCCCCTGCTGGTCTACCCTCAGCCTTGGTCCAAAACCCCTCTCCTGACCTAAGAACGTCAAAGATGATTTTTTAAAAATTATCAATACCTAAGAAAAAAATAGGATGCAGAAATTTGAAAAATGCAACTACCATCCACATTTTTTTTTTAAAAAAATATCTTTAAAGTCAAGCTCACCGTGATGTATCCCATATAGGCTGAAGATCTGGGTTGTGGCCAGCCCAGCACTTGGAACCTGTGACTCCAAAGCCCTCAGGATCACCGGCCCCTGCAGAAGCCAGGTGAGGACCACATACCCCTTTCCTGCCTGTCGCCATCCTGCCCTCAACCCACCGTGGCTCTGGCCAGGGCATCCGTTCTGTAACCATCACTCTAACTAGTGCTCATTCCGTACTGGGTCGGCTCAGACCTGCGCCATAACAGAATACGCAGAAGAGGCATAGAGGAGGCTCCGAAACTACAGCTCCACGGCTCTATGCCGGCTGGTCGCACTGCGATGTGGGACTTTCTCACCCAACAGGCGGCTGATGCTTCCCGAGAGTCATCAAAGCCTGTGTGTCTCTGGGCCACGTGCTCTGGTTGCTATTTTGGAAGCTCTCAGCTGTCTTGCTTATGTACTGTTATGCAAATTTGTTCTTTTAAAAATAAAATCATTTTTTTGTTTAATTTTGCCTTATTAAGTGTTTAAAAGCCAGTTTCTGCTCCCTTGGATTTTTCCCCTCTGGACTTTTTTTCTCAGGGTTTATTGGACCTGAGTCCGAAAGAGGGGACAGCAATATAAAGCAGGCCACGTCGTCCTCTGTCACCGTCATACCTCAGTCCCATGCCAATGTTGGTGAGTGCCCCAGCGGTCACAGGTGTGAGTAGCAGGAAGTGAAGGGGTGCGTTTGCATGCTCAATACCCTCTTAACTTCTTGATACTAAGGGCACCCTTTTACCATCATTGGAGATAAATGTCACTATGTGTTGACAGGTAAATGATTGCTGTCACTAATTAAGGTAATGACAGGGTTTTCACAGACGCGTGTACTATTTGCTGAACCAAGTGGACATGGTCCTATCTCACCTCATCGCGGCGCTCTGCTCTGCCTTCAAGCACCACAGATGTGCTGTGTGAAATGGCATGGGAAGCTGCCACTCTTCTGTGCAAGGCCAAGGCGAGGACCCCATTTGTTCTCTGAACACTATGTATTTAATGCTGAATATGCTGGGCACCTTGGGCAGAGGCACAGGATGAGGCCCCATCTGCCCCGTGGCGTTTTCTCAGGAGAGCGGAGACCCAGGTTCAGAGGATCACAATTCAAAATTCGAAGTGTTAAGGCTGTGTGTGTGTGTGTTGGGGGCCGGGGAGGGGGCGCGGATAGCGAGGCCGTGGGGATTGAGAGGAGGGGGTGAGTTCCAGCGCGGGAGCTGCAGCTGCTCCAGGCAGGCTCGTGGGAGGAGCGCAGGAGCCAGTGAGGTGGGCACAAGGATGTGCGAGACGGGAAGCAGGTGCAAGGGGATGCTCCACCGAGGGCCCAGCGTGCCGGGGGCCCTTCCCCCAACACCGCCAGCCATAAGCTGTCGCGAGGAGGATCCCAGCCAAACCCGTGCCGACGGCTGTGTGTAGAAACAGCAGTGGTGGCAGGATCAGCTAGGGGCTTTGACATCGCAGAACCAGGTCGCAACAGGAAGGAAGCCTGAGAAGTTCCTTAGTCCGTTCCCTTGTGTCCACATGGGACCATTCCAGAGGAGGTGGCACCAGAGGTGATTTCGGTCTCCCTTCATTTTCCTCATTGGGGTACAAGTCTGCAGCAGGCACCTTCCCCGCCCCCGTTCCCGCTGGCTCCCACCCTCTCAGACACGGCTTCGTCCCGTGTCCTCTTTTGGCTCTAAGCAGAGGTGACAGCAGTCAGGGACTCAGTCTGTGTCCCTGGTGCCTTCCTCCCTCCTCTCTTTGCTAAGTTCCCTGAACAAGTCCTATGGAATTTCATTTAAAAAATATTTTGCTGTGAGCCTGGCTCTTTGAGGACTTGTAAATGTGCCATGTCTCCCTTTAATGACATTGAATGGAGCGCTGGTTCTCCAGTAAGAGGCTGACGAGGACCAAGTGGAATAAGTGTGTAGACCTATCTCGTTTTTTGAGAACAGATGTTTTTCTAAAAGTTGCCCATGTTTGGACTTTTTAAACTCGAATTCTAAGTGCACTGAGGGGTTTGCTGTTTAAAATCATATGGCAATTCGTCATTCCTAGAAACATAAGCTTTTTAATGAATTACTGTGGCCACGCCACACATCCACTGTGTTCTTAAAGTGGGGCACACCTGTGGTGCAGACTCGGCGAGGTACCGGATGCATATGAAGAATGAGAGTTGAATGTGAACCATGAACAGAATGTTACGTTCCAAAAAACTGGCCACATGAGACAAGGGAGCTCTATGAGGCCCCAAATCCATTTCCCTTCTCCACGCCTGTCTGTATGGCATGCAAAAACAAACAAGAAAAGCAAGGATGCGGCTAGGCGCTCCGGCAGTAAGGTTTCTTTCATGCACACACTCAGCGCATCTGCCGGCCTTGTTCCTCGTTGCTGTGATAGCAGGGTCCCCTTGGTTGGAGCGCGAGCCAGATTCTTCCCCAGTGGAGGGGTTTAAAGAATGTGAATGCCTCTTGACAAAGATAGCTTCGGATTGTTGGGGGTGGGGCAGGGTGACTTGGTGCTGCCGTCATGCCATCTGCCTGCATCCGTGAGCCTCAGTGGGAGTGGGCATCCAGTCTGCAGTCCGTCTTCATCACATGGGAACCAGATGGGTTGCAATGTGGGAGGAGTATCTTATGCACAGGGCACACCCCACACAGGTCAGTTGAGCTGTCTTAATTAGGTACTGCTAAAATACTTCACTGGAAAGCTATTTTTGCTGTGGAGGCGAAAAACACAGCTTCACATGATTTTTTTCATGAAGTCAATTAATTCTATTAAATAGGTATTAGTATTTTTATCAGCTTTTTTCCCCTTTTTATCTCTTACATCATAGTTTTCTTCTCTAGGAATTCAAAACATCCATCTTCCATGTCTCAACTTGTTGTCTTTCCTCTGGTTTCTTGAACATCTGGAATGCAGTTACAATAATATCCTTGTCTATAATTTTATCCTCTATGCCATGTTTGAATGAGTGTTTTCCACCCTTCTTCATTAAGGCCTATATTTCCCAGCTTCTTTGCTTGCCTGGTAATTTTTTATGGGACGCCAGATACTGTAATTTTTATGTTGTTGGGTGCTAGATATTTTTGTATCACTATAAATATTCTTAAGGTTTGTTATGAGATGCAGTAACTATTGGGAACTAGTTTGATTCTTCTGGGTCTTGTTTTTAAGCTTTATTAGGCGGAACCAGAGGAACATTTAGTGTAAAGTTGATGTTCCCGGTACTGGGGCAAAATCCTTCTGAGGACTCTCCCTGTTGCCTCCTGATTTCTGAGGGTTTTCAGCCCTAGCCTGTGTGAGCTCCAGGGAGCGTTCCCTGTTCTTTGTGGATGGTTACGGGTCGTCTCTGTAATAGGCTGTGCTCTCATGTGCATGTGCGGATCAGTACCAGACCTTGGGCTCAATGGGCGGGGCGGGAGGCTCTGCAAAACTCTCCGCGCCGTCCCCCTCCTGGCCAACCCTGGCCTCCCGGCCCGCCGTGGCCTTCTAGCCCCGTCTCACCCGCTGGAGGCCCGTCCCCACACCACCGCCCAGAGGCTGGCCAGGTGGCCAGCCGGGTAATCACAGGCCTCACTTTGCTTTTCTCTCTCTCAGGGGTCACTGACCTTCACTGCTGATGTCCAAGGTCCTGAAAATCAGTTTTGCATATTTCACCTGGATTTCTAGCTGGGGTATACAAAGTAGGAAGAGGCTCCTTGGAAAGAAAGATGGAAAGGTGTATGGATCAGCTAGATACTGAAATCCCTTGACAATCAACGAGGAAGTCAGGACCAGCTGAGCTGTGACTGTCCTCACTGTGGTCCAGTATGAACGCCAGTCTGGGGCCTGGTCAGGACAGGCTGTGCCCAGTGTTTCCCGTTAGCCCCCCTACACCCTCTCTCCTCCTCCAGCATGATTTGGCTTATTGCTTCCATCTGGTTTATCTCACTTTGCCCACCTCAGGATAACCCCAAGTGCTCCTTGTTAAATGTTCTACTCAACACAATGAACACGTCCCGAATCCCACCCTTCTTGACTGGTCTTCTACCCTATATGTATCCAGCCCAATACGGATGTTTACCCAGCTTTGCATCCTTTACAACTGGTCCTTGCGAGCCCCAGGGCAGGCATGTTTTCGTGCCTCATGACAAAAAGCCATGACTTGTGGAATGTAGAAAATTTCTTTTGCCACAAGGTTTGGCATCAAGCAGGCACATACACCCTCAACATCTTCAGTTTTCTGTTTTAAAGAGAGGATGG